GAGGCCGGTGGTGGAGCAGATCTCCACCTGCAGCCCAGGGACCGTATGTCAGACCAGGTGGCTCTGTCTGACAGGCCACAGGTCCATGGACAGTCCACAAAATAATGAAGTGTTAGATTGAATAGACTGAGTAATTGAAAATCACTTCTCTCCAGTTGGTTCTCTCTGCGATGCTTTAGGACTACATTAATCTTATCTGTCAGGATAGAAAAAGGAAACTTAACTGTGTTTGACATAGACTCAGATCAGTGTGTGTTTGTATAAAGATGAAAAATACCTATCTTATAATTCAAGTTAAAATAGCTGTGTATTTAGATTTCTGTATCTCATGTTACTGTTGATTTATGCCTGATAACTGAACTTGCAATAAGTGATTTTCAGCAGGTTTCAAACCATTACACTCATGTTACTGTTGATTTATGCCCGATAACTGAACTTGCAATAAGTGATATTTTTTTAATCATGTAGGACATCTTAGCCAACAGATTATTACATAGGTCTATATCCTAAGTCTGCATTGTGTAGTTTGAGCATGATGGATTCATTCTCACTAGAATTGTGCTATTATTTTTCTTTTCAGTGTGTGACATGCCCCGGGGCACCAGCGATATCCGCCTGTTCTACGCCAACATGCGGAAGATGATTCTTTCTGTGGTTGGCTATTCCAGTGTCGACCAGGATGGATTCCAGCAGCCTCCTGGACGTCCCTTGGAGTTGGACAGGTAATGGAGCTGTAAGGCTGACTGTCAAGTGAGGCCTAACTGAAGTGCTGCTCCTGCACTGACACCATGTCAGTGACACGTGACGTGCCGGGACACTTCACAGGTTTGTTGGCTAGCAAGGTGTTTGTCAGGCATAGTGGAATTGGAAAGCCAGAGGCTGGAAACAAGTATCTCCAGCAGCAAGCAGGACACTTCTCTTCTTTGATAGGTGTCACCTGTTTGTTTCCTTCCACTAAATAGCTTTGTCAGTTCTTCTAGATTGGAATTTATTCACTGGCTGAGCATCATGAGAATCTTTATTTCTGGAGTAGACCATAATTCTTAGAAGACACCCGGGTGTGAACTACTAATCTGACTGTTAGGAAATTCCATGTCAAGGAATTAGGTGAATCAGTTGCCTTCCTGCTTCCATTGCTGTCTTAAGGGATGAATTCACACAGGTATTAGTTCAGCTGTCCTGAACCAAGTCAGGATTCTCTGAAGCATTAAATGTATAAGTAGAAATAACAGAAGAGCTGTATGTTTGCACAATGTTGTATGGAGCACAAGTTGCCTATTTTTTCTTTAAATATTGATTTCTGCTTTTATTTTAGCATTTAAAACTTGTGAGTTAAGCTTTGAACATAAGAAAATATGCTGAATCCGAAAATAACATCTTCCTATCTTTCATGTGAGCTGATCTGCCCTGTGTTTTGCAAACAAAGGTGTGAGATGCTAGGCCATGAAGATGATGAAGAGATCTGTCTTGCAAGGAGAGATGAAGAGTTGGGTTTTAGTGCTGAGCAGAGAAGGCTTGAGCCAGAGAGGATCTTATCCATATGTATAAATACCTGATGAGGAAATCAAGAAAAGGAAGACATTCTTCCCAGTGGTGTCCAGGGACAGGGCAAGAGGCAGTGGACTCAAGCTGAAATGCAATTTAAACATGAAAAAAATTTTTTTTTTTTTTACTGGTGAGGATGGCCAGAGACTGAAATGTGTTTCCCAAAGAGGTTGTCAAGTCTTTATCTGTGAAGAAATTCACACCCTGACTGGACAATGTCCCGGGTAACCTGCTGTAGCTGACCCTGCTTTGAGCAGGGCTGTTGGACTTTGTGATCTCCAGAGGTGCCTCCTGACCTCCAGCATTCTGTGGAACACAACTTGCATTGCTTTAAGGCTCTTTGCAGTACTTCCTTATTCTGAATAAAATATGTATAGAGAAAGCATTTCACTTTATTATAACCCAAAGATAACTGTTTTAGTACCTTCCATTCTAAATGTTACCTTCTACTTCTAAACTTTCTATGAAAAAGTTGTATCATGTTACAGCTGCTGAATTTTTTTCTTAATAATGGACAATTGAATTAAATTGAAGGCTCATGTAAAGAACATTGTTTCAGTATTCTGAGAAATAGTAAGAGTAGGCTATTAGAGTTAATCATAAGTTATTTTTATTACTGCTTTTGCTTAATGCAATCCTATTTTCAGATTTGAGAACTCTGACAGACATATGAATACAACGTTGGATGTTCTTCCTGTTAAAGGACCTCAGGATCCTCCAATACCTGTAAAAACTGATGATCTGGTTCAGAATAAAATGGATGCTGAAGAGGCTTGGGCTGTTAAACCTGAGCATTTGACTTTGACATCTCCTTCTATTGGTAAGTATTTTTTGAAGTTGGTAAATAACCACGTTAGTATTAAAGTAACTGTACTGCAGACTATATTTGGATTATTTTCTGTTCATAAATGTGGCTTGCTCAATAATCTTGCTGCAGTAGTCTTCTGTCTAAACAGTAAACTTGATCAACAGAGTTGTGGTGAAATAGTCAGAGGTAGCTCTGTGTGTATGGAGAATATGAACTGCATACCTGTGAAGATTTTAAACCATTGTGAAGGTAAAAATAGGGCAAAAATGCTTTATCTTAATCAATGCATCTCTGAATCTTGGGCACTTCTGTGGATTTTTGTACAGACCAGCTTTTTATAGCTTTTTTTTCATGTTGCAGGTGGAACAGCAGATACTGGACATGTACAAATTATCAACAGTTCTAATAGGACGTTGACATTTGAGCTTTCATGGCCAGCTCACTGCCTGACTGTAACCCCACAACACGGAGTCATTGACCCAGAGTAAGTTTCTCTTCTCCCAGGGAACATGCAATAGGACAAGAGGAAACGGCCTCAAGTTGTGCCAGGAGAGATTTAGGTTGGACTTTAGGAAAAACTTCTTCACTGAAAGGGTTGTCAAGCCTTGGAGGAGGCTGCCCTGGGCAGTGGTGGAGTCCCCAGCCCTAGAAGGATTTCAGAGCCATGGGATGTGGTGCTGAGGGACATGGTTTGGTGGTAGACTTGGCAGTGCTGGGGGAACTGTTCGACTTGCTGGTTTTAAAGGTCTCTTCCAACCAAAATGATTCTCTGATTTTGGAACTGACTTTCATATGGGAACTGAACTTGCTCCAACACTAAACTTTTCAAATGCTGAGTGCTGTGCTAATGAGATCTGAAGCTGAAGAATTAGCTTGAGAGCTTTTGCTAATGTACAACCAATGACCTTTACTTCAGCAATTTTGTGCTCAATTTCTTAAATCCTGAAGTGCTTAGTTTGTTATTTAAATGTCTCTAATATAGAATGTGGAATGCTATAAATAAGAACGTATGTTCTCACTGGTCAAATCAATGTTTGTTACCATAACTGCTTCAAGCAAGTTTGGCATCATACACACATTTTGGAAAACACACACTCAGAATTCTGTATTGTCTACTCTAACTATAGATAGAGTTGATAACATTGAAAGGCTTTTCTTTTTTTTTTTTTCCCCCCAAGATCAGTTGTGCATGGGAGGAAGGAAAGCAAGCTGGATCTCTAAAACCAGAATTAATTTAAAGGATTCTTGAAATGCAGTTTGAACAGTTCCCCCCAAGATCAGTTGTGCATGGGAGGAAGGAAAGCAAGCTGGATCTCTAAAACCAGAATTAAAGGATTCTTGAAATGCAATTTGAACAGTACAATTCCCTTGTTGACTGACTTTTCTGAAACATGAAAATAGTTGTCTTATATGGCCCGAGCAGTAGTATATGATCACAACATAGGAGATTTGGTCTTTCTCTGTGACCCCTTATACAACCATCAATGACAAGTTTATAAATGGTGTGTTAAGTTTCTGTCTACTAAAGCTTGATCCTATATTGGATATTTGAATACCTTTAATTCTCTTTAGATCATCTTCACTTACTTGTTATCTTAAAAGTTCATCCTCTTTGGGGGAATCATACAATCATAGAATGGTTTGAGTTGGAAGGGACCTCAAAGATCATCTAGTTCCAACCCTGCTGCCATGGGCAGGGACACCTCCCACTAGAGCAGGTTGCTCAGAGCCCCATCCAATCTGGCCTTGAACACCTCCAGGGATGGGGCATCCACAATTTCCCTGGGCAGCCTGTTCCAGTGTCTCACCACCATCACGGTGAAGAACTTCTTTGGAAGAAGGTAGATAGAGATTAGATGTAACAGTTTGAAGCCATTATCATATGTCCTGTCAGTACAAGGCCTTGTCAGAAGTTGCCCCCCAGCTGTCTTCTAGGCCTCCTTTAAGTACTGGAGGGCTGCAATAAGTTCTACCTAGATATGTCCTGTCAGTACAAGGCCTTGTCAAAAGTCCCCCCCCAGCTGTCTTGTAGCCCTCCTTTAAGTACTGGAGGGCTGCAATAAGTTCTACCTAGATGGAGCCTTCTCTTCTCCAGACTGAAAAAAACCCAACGCTTTCAGCCTGGCCTCACAGCAGAGAGGTTCCACCCCTCGAAGGATTTTTATGGCCTCCTCTGGACCTGTTCCACCAGGTCCATGCCTTCTTTTTTTGGGGGCTCCAGATCTGGACACAGCCCTGCATGTGGAGTTTCACTAGAGTGGAGTAGAGGGGCAGAAACCCCTTCCTTGCCTTCCTGGCCATGGTTCTTTTGATGCAACCCAGGATACAGTTGGCGTTTTCTGGGCTGCACTCGCACACTGTTGGCTTCTGTTGAGCTTTTCATCAAGCAGCACCCCCAAGTCTTTCTCCCGAGGGCTGCTTTCAATCCATGCTCTGCCCAGCCTGTAGCTGTGTTTGGGATTGCATTGACTCAGGTGTCAGACCTTGCACTTGGCCTTGTTTAACTTCCTAATGTGTGCATGAGCCCACCTCTCAACCTGTCCAGGTCCCTCTGAATGGCATCCCTTCCCTCCAGTGTGGCAACTGCACTACTCAGCTTGGTGTCATCCTCAGACTTGTTGAGAGTGCACTCAATCCCACTGTCCATGTTGCCCACAAAGATGTTAAACAGCATTGGCCCCAGTACAGATCCCTGAGGATCTTCAGTTGTCACTGGTCTCCACTTGGACACAGAACCATTGAGAATCATGTGCTTTTCTTTTTTTTTTTTTTTCTCCTTTTATTAGGAGCAGTACACTGATTCTGGTGAGTCCTAACCCCTCACTTGCCACAAAGCCTTCATTAGTTCCTTGGAGTGGCCTAATCTACATCCTTTGTGACCGTGGTCAGAAGGTACGTGGCTTACTTGAACACTGAGATTAAATGGTTTATTTTACTTTGCTGGAGAGGGTTTAATAATGTGGCTAAAACCTGTTAGGTGTGAGACAGCAGTTCTGTCGACTTCCATTATTTTTTTTAATTTGTAAAGTTCTCTTTTAAGAAAAAAAGGTAATTAAGATGCTGCTTTGCAAACTGAGATTTAGTTCCTTCGTCTCTGAAGAAATACCGTGAACACTTGGGTTGATTACCAGCAAAATTGCATCTGTCTACCCACAGCTGCCATATGCATCATTGTCTAGAGAAGCTGAGTGGTGCAAATGCATCTATAAAAATACTCTGTTTTAAAATGCAGTATAAGAAAGGAGGTTATTGGGCAAGTCAACAGTTACCTTTTGAGCTCCCTTAATGTAAACTTAAGCTTCTGCCTGACAAGTCTGTGATAAAGAACATCTAGAAACAGGCTCTTGCTCTTTGTGCAGTTTAATCCAAGACTTTCCCTGGCAAAATTAAGGCATATAAATAAAATTTATGAAGCCAAGAATTTCTTCTTTCATCTGTGTAAAAACAGACTCCTCGGTAATCTCTCCCAAAGAAATAAACCTGATGGTTCTTTTTTCAGCCATTATGTATTTTAGGTTACTTGTAACAGTGCATGGACAGAGAAATAAAAGAAGCATATAAATAAAATTTATGAAGCCAAGAATTTCTTCTTTCATCTGTGTAAAAACAGACTCCTCTGTAATCTCTCCCAAAGAAATAAACACCTGATGGTTCTTTTTTTCAGCCATTATGTATTTTGGGTTACTTGTAACAGTGCATGGACAGAAAATAAAAGACACTGAAAGGATAAAAGAACTTATTTAACTACCTTCCTTCTTGATGGAAGGAGGTGACGTATGACACAGAATTGCAAACTGCTGTAAAAAAACCCATTGAACAGCGAAGTTCTTGAGAAGAGTGAGTTGAGAAGGAAATGGAGACTGCACATATTTAACTAGTACATACAAGTATTTATAAATACAGAGTTAACATACTAACTCTGTTATGCTCTACAATATGAGAACAGGCTATAAAAGAAGAAACCCACTGGGGCAAAAGAAGAGAACATAGCAAACTCAATGAAATTGTAAGAGATCTGGTAGCTGATAATGCTTTTGCTGTTTCTTTGCTACCTATCCAATTAAGCAAAAAGCATGCTAAGATTTCTATTAAAATCACCAGAAGTTTTCACAAGTGTTAATGAGGTAGCAGAAATAAACACCAAGCTGGTTCTGTATGAAGCAGCAGCCCTGTTCTAGTTCTTCTCAAGCAGAGAATATTGTGGGACTTGCCATTTAAATTTGACTAGTTTAAGTTATTCCTATTGATTAAAATGTCTAGATAGCAAACTGTCAGTATATTTTTCTCCTCCTTAAATTAAGCTTGTCCTAAAGTCTTTAAAATTTGTGAACTGAAGTTAGAGAAGACCGGGTGATTTAACACATGGAGCTCTTTGTCTTTTGGACTGTAAAGCTACATACCTCATGAACTCTTACAGCTCAAAGAAATATATAGCTAAATAGTTTGACTTGTTAATATATCAATGATCACTATTTAATTCTTTTTCTCTGATTTGTTTTCTCCAAAAGTTTGTTGAAGTGCAGATTGGGGAGGCAGTTGCACGGGGTGTGGCTGGAGCTGACTTCCCACCCAGGAGACATGATACGTTTGCTCGACAGCTTGGAAGTCCCACTGTTCATGTGGCAAAACCTCACTTGGTGCTCCCTCTAACAAAAATGGAAATAAAGAACAGGATGATTGTATTTCCTGAAACACTATCTGGCCAAAGCTCAGGTAATGGTGTTTATTTTGTATATGGAATGTCTGTCCTATTGTGTGTTCAGAGTTTTTACTTACTGTATTGCATGCTGGGGAACTTGAATTCCTGGGCCTTGGTTTTGTTTCTTTTTGTGTAAGTGTGACTGACCAGTTCCCCTCTTCTGACTTCAGTTTGAGATGTTACTACATGTGGTGGAACTCTTCTCAGAAGTCTTTTCAAGAAAAAATTTTCCTCCTTCCTTTCCTCTTATGGGTCAATGCACTTTTGCAGGAGACCCATTCTGTGTATGTGTCCTGAAGGTGTGAGAAAAATCTCTCTGCATGGAGCAGAGAAATAAATGTTCTTCCTTAACATGACAGGAATGTCAGCTATGAGGCTGGCTATCCTTGTCTTGTACTTAATGATTGAGGAGGACACTTGATAATGGAGTCACAAACCCTCAGTCTGTGCTTTTAATTCCAGTAATGCTTAAAATTCTCCAAATTACTGGATGAAACTATCATTCTGTTGTCTAGATACCAGATTGTTTTGATAGTGCCTTGTTTGCTAGGTAGTGAGGATTTTTTTAAATGATTCTTTGATGCTACATTTTTGTTTAACACACTTGAGAACTTTCAAAGCTTAATTTATCTGTTATGTTGGGAGTTTTGCTACACTTATGAAAGACTTGCTTAATATAATACTCCTTTCCTATTTTTGTGTCCCATCTAATATATATGCAGCTAAACTTTCTGAAGTGCTACTCTAGACTGAAATATCTTACAAATGTCCTGTTGATTCTTGGGAAGAGGCACATTTCAAGCTGTGATATATGCTTATAGTCAAAGCTGGGATTTCCTGATGATGTCAGTGAATTGTTCTTGTGATGAGAATGGATTTTACTGGATGCAGTTTTGATTGACAGCATTCTAGTTTGGGACCAGTGTTTTTTTTTTATTTTCCTGAATTGTTAAATAATGTCTTGGGGAGTGAGTTGGGTGTCTTGTGAGATTTTTTTTTTTTCAGTACACTGTCTGAAGGTATCTGCCAAAAATCTGAATGCAATAAACTGATTATTGGAGGTGACTTAGATCTCTCTGCTGTTTATGTTCTGCTTTTATAAGAAGTCTTGTCAGCTGTAGGAGGTTACCATGTGTGTAATATCACATGATATGCCTCAGGTTCTTAGAGGGGATTATCTGTTCCTGTTTTAGGGTAATTGAAGATGAGATTTAGTTCTCAGTTTACTACTTCTTGTCATCGTAAGGCTCCAGGGAGACCTTATTGTAGTCTCCCAGTATCTGAAGGGAGCCTACAGGGAAGCAGGGGAGGGACTTTTGACAAGGGCTTGGAGTGATAGGACAGTGGGTAATAGTTTCAAATTGGAAGAGGGGAGATTTAGATTAGATGTAACAAAGAAGCTCTTCACTGAGAGGGTGGTGAGACACTGGCACAGGTTGCCCAGGGAAGCAGATGCCCCACTCCTGGGAGTGTTCAAGGCCAGGTTGGGTGGGACTTGTGCAGCCTGCTCTGGTGGAAGGTGTCCTTGCCCATGGCAGGGGGTTTGGAACTAGGTGAAATTTAGGATCTTTTCCAACCTGAACTATTCTATGACTCTGTGATCTTTGATATGATTCATCACTAGAAGACTTTCCCTCCATTTTTCTCTTGTGTAAGTTTTCAAGAGTTTGACAGTGTGCTTTGAGTCTGCTCTTGGTGCTGGCCTCGCAAGAACTGTTTCCATTGGACTCCTGTGTGTCTTGAAACAGTTTCCATTTATGCTCTTCCCACTAAAGAGACTTGAACACTTGAACAAAGACATTTAATGCACTAGTCTGATATTTCTCTTCTAGAGAGTTACCTGGAAATGGAGAATAAAGGGGATGAAAACGTGAGGTGGCATTTGTCATCGTTTGCACCACCCTATGTTAAAGTGAGTGAATGCTGCCCTGGGAAGTTTTATCCACATCTCTTGGTTTTTTTCCTTCTCTCTTCCTGATGCTTTCTCCTTCTCCCTCCATCCTCTCAAGAAAGAATATATTGTTGAGCATGAACTCAAGAAGTTTTTTTGCTTCCCTCTGTATCAGGGAAATGTTTTACTCTTTTTTTTAATCTCTAGTGTGCTCCCTGGCTGTGAATCAGTCAGTGCTCTGTGGGGCAATTCCTGGTTCACAGAGTTTGCCTGTGCTCATCTAGTATCATCATCCAGTCAGCATTACATAGTCAAGAGTACATAAAAGATGGGTGTCCCTTTGGGCTCCAGGATGCTGGACTTGCTTTATTTTGAGACTTGTGCTGCTGGGATTATTCTGTACATGGTTATTCCTGTAGGTAATTTAAGTTAGGTCAAGGCTATTTGAGTTACTCTGCTGCTGCCTGTGCAAGCAGTGTAGCTGCACCATTGATATTTGTAAATATTTCCCTATTTTTTTTTTTCATAGTCTGAAAAGCTGTGATGGTCACTTTGATTTAACACTAGACTTGCTATGGGCTGTTGTCATGAAATGATGAAAACCAGTTGTGTAACACTCTTAGCTGCAGCCCAGAAGGCTGAGCATGCCATGTTCCAGCCAGTGCACCACCTCTAAACTGGAAGTCATTAGTCATGGTGACTGCAGAGATGTGGCAGTAGCTTTGGTCTTTATTAATTTATTTTTAGGGAGTCAATATTATCTGTTCACTTGAAAGCTGCTTAATTTGATGTGTTTTCTTCCATCTTTTTCAAGGGTGGTGTGTGGGTGGGTGTGTTGTGTGGTTCTTGCCCTTCTGAATCTGACTGGCAGCTTTGTTTGCAGGATGTGAATGGAACTGGTTGTGTGTATAGGGTCACGTACTCCGTGTTCAGATGCTCCCGTGTTTCTGGGGTGCTTGAAGCTCATGGAGAAGAGAAGGTAACACACATTTATAAATATTTCAAGCATATTACTGTATCTTAATTTAAGATAGGCTCTTACATGAGAAACTTTTTGAAATAACAGTTGAATTTTTGATCCTTGTCTGGTTTTATCTGATAATGATAGAGTGCTGGCCTTCCAAAACTGGGATCTGGGGTGTATCAGGGAGTCAGTCTTTACTTACTGCAGCTGTTACATTATCAGCTGAGTTGATTCTAAGGATTCATACAATCTGTGGTTTGACTTTCCCATGGTGGTGTTTTTATATTTAATCTTTTTACCTAAATTATTCTAAAACAGAAAATGATTTTAAATGCTTTGTAAAAACCCACAAGAACATTGCAAACAGTACTGGGTTGTCATGAAACTAGTATAAGAACTGGTTTCCCTTCCTTAGAATAAGTTTTGTTATACTTATTCAAGCACAGTTGTGTATTCCTAAACTTGATTTCACTGGATGTACAATTTTATCTCCTGGCCAGTAGAGGGTTTCATAAGCACAGTTATAAAGCCACATGTAAGGGCTTACTGTGCTTTTTCTCCCTCAAAGCTACTTCAAGTCTATCTGTTCATCAACACCTATCTTATCATTATGGATTGTTATGATGCTGCTTAACTGCATTGTTTCTATGATGATGCAATTTGTAATCTATTTACAAGACATAAAAAACTTCTATGCAGTTCCATAGTTATTTCATAATATTGAAAACCATTATTTGTCTTTGAACAATTGTCTTTGCCTTAGCAAGCCTAGTTCAGGCCTGTTTGAATAACATTTACATGACTGGCATGTCAGGCCCTTGGCTGGAGCTGGCAAGGTACAGTGCTGTCATGATTTGCTGTTTTTTGCAGTGGGTATGAGAATACTTGGCTAATTAGATATAGTTTCAGTGATCTACTCTAATCTGCTGCTCCCCTTTTCTTTCTTCTCCCAACCTCAACCCTGAAAACAGTGGAGGTGTGCTCTGGAATGAACCTGGGACAGCCCTGTGCAGACACCAGCCTTTGTTACAGAGGCAAACTTTAAGGATGAGCAATTGCATAGCCTGCAAGTTGGTTTAAATTTCAGGCCTTCTAGTAATTGTAGCAGAGTGTGCTTCCAAAATTTGGAGCTGGAGGGGTGCAGTTGCTCACAGCTTAGCTGACAGATGAAGGAAGGTATCTCTGTCTTTAAGCTGTGCCTGCTTCCCCTCCTTGTCCCCTTCTCCCCCATCTTACTGATAGAGATAATTGTGCAAGCACTTGCTGGCTTTGTTTAAAGCAGATGAGCTGAACTCAAATTTTGTTTGAGATTGCTTGCACAACCTGTTTCATCAGAACTTCTCTTGTGGGCAAAGGAGGATGAGCTGTATTGTTTTCTGCAAGATCACCTGCCTGTGGAATGTATGTTCTGTGGTGTGTTTCATGCTGGCTTAACTGTAATTTGTTGAAGGTAAAATTATGAAGACATATAGATTTTTTTCTCTTGTAGGTTGCTGTAATGTTTTTACCTAGAGATAAAGGAGATTACTCCCAGTTTTGGGACATTGAGTGTCACCCAGTTGAGAAACCAAGTTGGAAACACAAGTTAAGATTTCAACTCTGTGGAGCAGTGAGTATATAAATGCCATCAATGCATTTGTCCTGAGCACAAATTTTTGCTCATGTCTTAATTTCACTACACAGTACTCTTTCATATGTGCTGGTATATTAAAAAAAAAAGCATGCTGATATTTTTGTTGGACTAAACTGTACTGTTTTTCTTATGTTACAAAAAATACCTTTTCCATCTTGCTTATGCCATGCTGTATTAGCTTTTGCCATTTAAGATCTAAAGTTTTATTTTGCTTGGAGAAAGTGGAGACAAACTTGCCTTCTGGGGGAATTTTCTCTAGATGCAGATTTGTTTGCATCAGAGGTTAAATGGATTGGTTTTATTGTTACAAATAAATAGCAGAATAACCTTTGCTGTAATATTGGAATTTTCTAATAGCCATATGGGAGATATAAATGTGTCTGAGTGTTTTATCAGAGAAACAATGTAGGTGGGGGTGATTTTGATATTTGTACATGAGAGCAATGGGATTTGAGTTTTCTTTTGCTCCCTGGTTGTTCCTCAGCTCTAACTGGATGGTGAGGCTTGGAAGGAGGGATTGGGGAGCTAGAACTGGTTTCCTGTGCTCTCTCCCCTTACCTTGCTTTTAGTCCCTATCTCATTGCCATATAAGAGGACTTTACATGGGACAGAGAATCTGCTACTGTTAGAAGAATTAATTCTAATGGTTAGTTAAATGAGCTGAATGTGAAGAGTTTTGCATATTCAGTATTGTGTGATTGCTCTCTATGCTTTACTGTCTTCTCCAGAGAGTTTGACTTGATTTTTCTAAGAGGCCCAGAGAAAGATTTGGGATCTTTAGAATACCAAGCTTTTTTTTTTGTACTAGGAACCTTTCTTACCTTTCTTGCCAGGGTACCTTACCTTTTATTTTGTAGGATGATGTTGTCAGTAGTTAATTGTGTTGAAAAGGAGACTTGCTAAAGAAGTATATGTGAAATAACTTCTAATTTTGGCATGAAGAATGAGACCTATACGTTTGACTTGGCAGTTTTTTTATTCAGCTTTCATCTAACTCTTTGAACATGGTTTTCCTTAAAATGAGGAAAATGTCTGTCATTTGTCTGTTTAAAGCTAGCTGCACTTGAGAGAAGCTGAATTCTTTATTAGAAATCCAGAATCTTGAATTCTTGTCTTAAAATGTAGCTGGTTGTCAGAGTTTTATAGATCTTCAAGTGGCACAACTTGATACTGGTATTTTTTGGACTACTGTGCCAAATTTCTTCCTCTTGATTTTTTTTCAAAGCTATTAACAGTTAGATCTTTTCAACGTCTTTTTGTGCACACAGGAAAAAAATTTGTAGAAAACACTTGAAATGTGTGACTTCCATTTTGAAAAAGAGTTGTAAGGGAAATACTTTGTCAACTGGTTGGAAGAGGGCTCATCACAGAACCTTTACCTAGATTGTTAGAGCTTTTTTATCAGACCACTTTTAGTTGAGAAGACAAGTCCATCATAATCTGTTATGTCCTATGGGTCAAGAGTTGAGGCTGTTGCTATAACTTTGAAAAGGACTTGGATCCTGCAGGGTTTGTTGAGGCAGAGGCTACAGCTCTGGCTAATGTGACTTCTGATGGAATGAAGTGAGAAGACTGACTGGCTGTCATTCTGAGTGACTGAGTGGGTTTTATTTATAGCACCACTTCAGAAAAGGAAAATTCAGAAGTGCTCAGGAAAGAACTAAAAGAACAAGGTGTAGCTGGGAAAATCAGTGTGGCTCACCACTTCCTGTTTTTTTTTTCCTCTGGGAAAAAGGAATTAACTGTGACTTTACACTCTGTGTGCATTTGCAGTCCTCACCACTGGCAATTATAGTGTCCTAGGATCATGTCTCCAAAACTGATCCCAGAGAGAAAGGAAAGAGTGATTCTACATGTGCTTTGCAGCCCCAATCTCTCCATACTGGCCATTCAAACAGTTTTTTTCTTGGGAAGCCTTTGGTAGGCTGCTGTCAGGTATTGTTCTAAGATAATTGAGCTACTAACATTGTGCATAGAAATATTGGACTGATAGTTTGGTTTGATTGTTGGATCCTCTGGGGTGAAATAGGGAACTAGCAAGAAGGCTGAGGCAGCAACTAAGTTCTGATGTAGGAAGCTGAGGACTTCATAGAGAACCCCTGCTGTTGTGTGAAGATATGACCAAATGTCAGGTGCCCACCATTGCTTAATGTACATGGTAGATGTACTTTTGCTGTGTAACTGTGTAACCTTTTCCTGTATCATTTTGCAGCCAGTTGAGCTGAATCTCTTAATACTTCACACAAAACTACCACTGCTAAGTCCTGATTTGATTATTCTTACCAGCAGTGCAAAGCTTCATCTTCTTGGGGTATCCCAGACCCAAGAGGAGGAAAAATCTTTTCAAACTCTGAGCAAAACCATTCCAATTTTAAATGTGAACAAATTTTTGTGCTCCTGAGGTGGCTTTGGAACAGCAGCACTGCTGCAACTCTTTGGGCAGTGTGAACATGCTGGTTTCATTTCAAACAGAAGTCAGTGTAGGGTGTGGTAGAACATGCAGTACTTCACTATGCTCTCATAAAGACTGGGGCAACTTCTGATCATTATCCACCCTGTGCCTTACTCTCCTGCAGTAAGCTTATTGATCAGTTAGAATTGGAATAACACTGAGGCATGACACCCATCATTTTTCACTACATGGGGAATGAAAAGCTCTTGAAATGACACATCTACAAATCCTTTCTTCTCTTTATGTATCAGGTTCTACTGTGGCTTGTGGGTTATTTGCAACTGAAAAATATTCTTTAAAATTAAGATTTTTTTTTTTTGGCTCCTTCTATTTCTGACAGACTGATTAGGAGCTCTTTCAATAGAACAAATGAATATCTGAAAGACAAGTTTGTCATAGCAGCTCTACTGAAGATGAATCTGTTTTTTTTAATCATCCCTGCGTAAGGGAATGAACTGCTTGTCTTAAAACATCAGCACCATTTAAAAATGGAGATGATGTTGTACCACCACCAGTGTAGGAGGTTCTTCTGGTTCTTTAACTTTGTGCAGGGGATGTTGTGAACCGAGGGGGCTCCAAACAGTACCTGGCTAGATTTGTAACACAGGCAGAGTTTGAAACTGGCTCTTGGATGAAGTATTCCCTTAGGGTGATGTGGGCTCTTTGTGTTAGAGTATGCTGAACAGGGGTCCTCAGGATGTAAATGTTGTGGCCTCATTTCTGAATGTAACAATTACTGTAAAATGCATTATCAGATTCTGTCTCTCTAGAGAGACCTTCCTTTGAGAAGGGATTACAAAGCTTTTTGCCCTTGTGGGAATTCAGGCTGTAATGGTGACATACACCTTCCTGCTCTCTGAGCAGTTGTTGGGGTGATTCTGCTGTTCTTGAGGCATGTGGGCAGAATATCTGCAGAGGACTTGGGTTTTGCTTTGGCTTTTAGTTAGGTCTTCATTGCCAGCAGCTTTCTTGAGATCCCACCTATGCTGCTAGTTTGTGAACTGGCTTGTAACAAATGAAGTACTCGTAAGACACAGAAGCCTGTTGAAGTATTCCTCCAAAATCATGGCTTCTGTCTCAGTGATCCAGACTCTACCATTGCTGAAAGATTATACTTTATTTAAAGTGTTGGAATTGGGCAGGGGAAAGGACTTAGGCACTTGAATACTTAAATAATTTTGAATGCAAAGATTAAAGGTTTCTCTGTTTTTACCAACAGGGTATTAAAAGAGGAAATGCAACTTCGGTTGTGAAAGCTTCTGGGAGTGCCCTCACAAAAAGTGAGCTCCCAGCTATACCAGAGGTGAAGGCTTACTCTGAAGCATCTACAACTAAAGCAGGGTAGGTACGGACACAACCTGAAACAAGAGTCTGCAACTGGGTAAAAAGAGGAGGGAGCAAAACCCAACCCTTTTTTGCCATTAGTGCAGCTCTGTGGTGGAACAGGCTGTGCAGAAAGGTTGTGTAGTCCCTGTCCTTGAAGGCTTTGGGCATCTGGCTGGACAAACCCCTGAGCAGCCTGGTCTGACCTCACAACTGACCCTGACTGGAGCAAGAGGTTCAACTAGGGACCTCCTGAGTCTCTTCTGATCTACATTATCCTATGATTCTATGTTCAAGAGTAAACTGCTGCAGAAGCCAGGCTTGCCAAACCTCTTAGTGGCTTTGTGTTGTTCAGTCTCCCATCCTTTTTCTTTTCAGTGGGGTTTCTAAGTTGCCTGACCATGATCTGCTGTTGGAAATGAACTGATAGAGTCTTACATATGCTTTTTGTGTACTCCCCTTTTGGAGACTCCACAGAACTGTAAAATCACTTCTGAGCAGACCACTGTACTACATGCCTTAACCCTGCTGTTCTTCAGCCTGAAGTCGACTTCCAGTTCTTTTACTGTGGGATGATGTGAATGGCAGGGGAGTAAGATGTTTCAGTTAAACATGGCATCTTTGAGAAGAGCCTAGTTCTGTGCTGAAGCACATGGGGAACAAATGCAGATTGTGGAAGTGTGTAGAAGTACATGTATGCCACAGTCATGCTTTCATTGGTCTTTCTAAATGTCTTGACTGTAAAACTTCAGGTGAGAGAGTGGATGCCTTTGGGATCTTTCCATTTCTCCTGATTTAGTCTCAGAAAGTACACCTATTATTTTGAAGTATGCAGTCAATATATCCCGACCATTTAAGCAGGAAATATTAATATCTTAAATCCCTTTTTCAAATCAGACAAAATGAGATGGTAAGAGGAGTGTATGCACCAGAAGACCTCTACACTTTTCCTACAACTACAGTTGGGGAGTCATCCACGTTAAAGGTCAACTTGCGGAATAATTCCCTTGCAACACACTGGGTAAGTTTGGCAGACTTTATTTAAAGTAGATTTGTCTAAGTCCTTCCAACAGTTCAACTGTACTTTTTAAATTTTTTTTACTCTTGACAGAAGTTTGCAGTAGCACAAGTTTTAGTTTGTTAGTTTCACATCCAGTATTATTGAAGAATTTTGCCCTCCTGTAATTTTAATCTTTTGTCTGAATCACTGAGTGTATTTGTAATGTATTTACATCTGAAAAAATAATAGATTAGCTTGCATAAATCTGTTGTTAACCTGATTGATTTATTTAACTTCATCAAAATAGAGAGATGTGAATTTTTCTTACTGGGCACAAATGTAGGCATGCTTTGTTTTTGAACCCTGGGTCTGTGTAAAGCTGTATTTAATTGACTTGATTATCTTAATCATGTCATAAATTGAATGTGATAGACTTACATATAATGTGCTTTTAAGCATTTTGTATTAAATTGCAGCTGAAATTCCAAAGTCCCAGGGAGCCTTTCTACATCAAGCACTCGAAATATTGTCTACGGTGAGTGATGCATTTGCTAACAATCTCTCCTAATAAAGAAATTAAGCAAGTAATTCAAATAAATATCTTCTTTGTATGTATAGTACTAAAATGTAGCTATAAATAGCCAACATTCTCATGTCTAGTTAAAGATTTTTGGTTTGGTTGAGTTTTTTTGTGGGTGTTCTTTTTTGTTGTGGTTTCTTTTTTATTTTTTTTTTTTTTGCTAAGCTGTACTCTGTAATCTTAGTTAGAAGCAGAATGAGCCCACACAGTTATTTCTGCATCTGCCAATTTCTTCCCTGCAAATTGTTTCTAACAGTGCTGCTGCTTTTAATGCTAAGCCTAATGCTTCATTTAACCATTTGGCATGCTGTGCACAATCAAGTCATTCCTTCCATTTATACTTTCTGCACAACAGACCAAGCAAATTGCCTTCATCATGCTTCTAATTTGACAAACCTGCAGAGCTGCATCAAAGATTCTCTGCAAATACAAGGTTTGAGCAGCCAGTGGAATTGCCTGGTCATACCAAGCATTTGAGCATATTACCTGCATAAAAGGAATTTTCAAGTTGGTGATAATCTCTCAGAATAAACCCAGTCATCTTTGGAGTTCATGACAAGAAGTATTTGACAGTCCTATTAGTCATCTTTCCAAGAAGTGCAGCATCACGTGCCCATCTGTACCAGTGGGCCTGTCAGCAAGACAGAAATGGGACCGTTTTGTTACAAGTCATGCAGCATAGCAGCTGGTTACACTTATCCCTCTTCTGAAGACAGGGAAACTTGAGGGTATATGGAAGAGAAATTGTGAGCAAAATCCTGTCACAGAATCCCAGAATGGTGGGTTTGGAAGGGGCCTCTGGAGATCACCTTGTCCAACCCCCTGCTCCAGCAGGTCACCCACAGCAGGGTGCCCAGGATGGTGTCCATGGGGTTTGGATTCTCTCCAGAGCAGGAGACTCCCCAGCCTCTCTGGGCAGCTGCTCCAGGCTCAGGCACCCTCACAGCAAAGAATTTTTTCCTCCTGTTCAGATGGAACCTCCTGGGTTCCAGGCTGTGCCCCCTTGCCCCTTCTCCTGCCACTGGGCACCACTGGCAAGAGTCTGGCCCCATCCTCTTCCTCCTTCACCCTTTAGAAAGTGATAAGCATTGGAATGGAACCAGGTACTCTAGATCCTACCCGAGTTTTGCATCTGCCACTGATACTTGGCATTAATTCTAACAACAGGGATTTATGTGGTGGTGCCAGCCACAGGTAGTCAAGGTTTTCTTCTGTCCACTTTTCAGTGCAAAGTGTTATAACTTAGGCATGTGTTCCAGTGTTTCTATTGAACTGTCATCTCTGTACTGAATATGTCACATCAGGTGGCACAGGTGTTTTTTTTTGGGTAGGCAGTCACCACAATGAAATCTATCCAAATACAGAGAGCTAGGTAGATCTGTCTGGGGCTGTACACCTGCAGATGAAGGACAGGATGGCTTAATGTCCTGGGCAAAAAAAGATGAGTAACTTCACTGGAAGACGCTTCAAAAACATTATTAAGGAATTCTGTAAGAGCTATTTGGTGTAGGAGAGATGAACTCCTCCTGCTTTTACTGAAAGTAGATGTTATAAGTTTAAAATTCAGTCTGCTGTTTTCAAAGGTCATCAGCTGATTATACTGTGCCTTCTAGTAACATTCTGCAGCCTTTTTTCCTAGTAACTTTGGCTTTTTCAGGTGTAAATATTGGCCTTTCCTAGCTTTTTTACAGTTCATTCATCTGAAGTCAGCATAACTCTCTGAAGAAGCTCTCCCATTTAAGAGCATAAAGCAGAGAAGAATTACTTGACTTGGATGGATGCTTTTAAAAAAGTGCTAAGAGAACTTGTTTAAATGGCTTTTACTCTAGAACAGCATCAAGGAGGATTTCAAGAAAGCCCGTGTTGACTGTTTACATCCAAACTAGGTTAACCAGACATCTTACAAAGTAGTGCTCAAAAGTAGTTGGATAAGAAAACTGTAGGAACTTAGAATAAGAGTGTAAAAATAGAAAATACCACCTACATATACTTCTGGACCACAGAAGTGTCATGTAATAAATGTGGTCTGTTGCATGCTTTTCCTTTTTTGAGGGCCAAATCTGAAAGCAGTCTTGTGTAGTCAAGTTTTAAATCTGGCTAATGGAGTTTCAATTTTTTTAAATTTTAATATTAAGGGTCTTGCCTTCAGAAGTTGGTGCTCACCAGTTCTTGTTCAACTGGTTATGTCACCACAAGTACCAGTACCTAGTGCTGCAGTTCCAGTTTGCTTGGTTGAAACTGTAACAGGCTTTATCCAAATACAGTATCTTGCAACCAAAACTAGCCAAAAAAAAAAAGAATTTTAATGATCCTCACCAAATATCTCCCAGCATACATTTTGGTTTTTAACCACAGGGATACTGTTACCTCGTATTGCAAGTCCTCAAAGAATGGGTGGGAAGGAATTCTGTCTGGGATTTGCATTCAAAAGGGGAGTTCTCTTTGTTGACAGAGCAGAAATTTTTTTACTGCAAAGAGAGCACTTTTAACAAGATGACTCTTGAGTGATATAAACATATCACTGAGCAGTAAAAAACACCTGGCTTCTTAAAAACCTTTGGCTAAGTTCTTCAGAAGCCATCTGAAAGAAGCTAATGACAGTAGTATCTATTTCAGATATTATTGAAAGGTAAAACTGTTTTTTGCTTGACTAATTATTTTTGTCTCCAGTAGCCACCATGCTGGGTGTTAGGAGCCACTAGTGGCTGACAACAGATCTGGTTACTATGGCTTAGATGAGCTACCTGTACTGTTCCTTTTAAACTCACCTGCTGCTGCTGTTGTGTTTAGAGAACTATGGGATTAGTTTGTCTATGAAGTTGGCTTCAGACTTACCTGACTCTTCAGACATACCTCAGTACTTCAGAAAAACCCTCCAGGTTGCTTCATTTCCAAGAGCATTTATGCTGCATAGTTGCCTAAAAAGCAGTTTTGTTAGTTGAAGAAAATGAAAGCAGCTTCTTTCCCTTTGGATTAGGAAGCATGAGAATTCAAGTGTATTGAGCCTTATCCTGACTGCAGATGTCATGTCATAGAATCACAGAAAGGTTTGGGCTGGGAAGGACCTTAAAGAGTATCAAGTTCCAACCCTCCTGCTGTGGGTAGGGACACCTCCCACTAGTAACAGGTTGCTCAGAGCCCCATCCAGCCTGGCCTTGAACACATCCAGGGATGGAGCATGCACAGCTTCCCTGGGCAACCTGTGCCAGTGTCTCACTAGCCTCAGTATGAAGAATTTCTTCCTTGGATCTAATGTAAATCCACCTTCTTCCTATTTAAAACTGTCACCCCTCATCCTGTCACTGATGAAGGGTCCCTCCCCATCTCTCTTGTAGACCCCCTCTAAGTACTGAAGGCCACAGTAAGGTCTCCCCAGAGCCTTCTCTTCTCCAGGCTGAACAAGCCCAGCTCTCTCAGCCTGGTCTCATAGGAGAGGTGCTGACTAATTCTTCCTTTAGAGAAAATGATAATGTGCATAGCACCAGCCAAATGGATACCTGAAGTTAGGGGTCAGTTGGGATTGAATATAGCTGCCACATGCCAAGAAACTGGGCTCTGCCTCAGCATCACTGAATTGGTGTTGTCTGTATTCTGGAAATTCATCTTTGACAGTCAGATGTGAGCATCTCTTTAAAAGAGCAATACATAACTTACTGTTACATTCCTGATAGTGTGAGTTTGGTTATATTGTTCTGTTTGAGTGAGTGCTGGATATATGAGGAAGCAGACACTATTTTTGGGTTGATGATACAGACTCGTGCATCCCTCCTGACTTTCTGCAGAATCGACTTTTATTTCTGTGCATTCTCAGGTGGCCTGGCTGCATGCAGCTTCAGACTCTATTCTTACTAAAATTAGTGTTTTCTGATCTAATGCATCTGTTCCAGATCGAATAGTCACACTGATGTTCTTTTGTAAAGTGGTTCTTTACAGATAAAGCTGAATAAATATCTTCATTCCATGTATTGGGGATGCATGAAGAGATGGAGCATGCCAGCTTTGTTAAACAAAACTCAGCAACCAAGTATGAGCCACGACACCTTGATCTGGCTGTACTCTTTGCTGTTGATTGTAGTTCAGCACAACATAATTAGTGCTTTGGTTTTGTATTAACCCAATTAAAAAACCAGGGTAGCATACCACTCTTTCTTCTGAAAGCATCCACTCTTGCATGATTGACTAGGATCTGTCTAGATCCCCTGTCGATGGGGAAATCGACTTGCAAAGATTCAGCCAAATATTTCTGGACATTGAGGTAATTAGAAGCAATTGAGATTATGCTAGCTTCAAATTGGGGGAATTCCAGAAAGAATTGGAAATTTTAGTGTACTTGTCCTGTGACTTATGAAACAATGTAATTAATACACTGTAAATGTTACTGCAAAGAGGCAGGCCCAGCTTACCTAGGTAAACTAGCAGCAATAAAGTACTGTAGTACTTTGTATAATTAGTAGGAAAGAATTGCTTTGACAATCAGAGTCCTGCAGAAGAATAATAGATAATTGAATCTGTAAAAGTAAACTTGATGATCCAGTGCACATCCACTATGCTCATTTGGTGAAAATCAAAACTAAAGAATTTCTCCATCTGGTAGGATTAATTTCTTTATATTAATGATGAATATGCAAATAACTGCCTTTTTACAGGTCCCATCATTACATCAACGTGCCAGTCCAGTTCAAGCCACAGACAGAAGGAGAATTTGAAGGTCTCTTCATTGTGCAAACAACCAAATACAACTCAGTTGTTATTCGGCTATGTGGTAAAGCTATTGCAAAAAACCAGGCAGTTTTATAACTATTTATAATCATTTATAACAGTTTATGCTGTTTAAAATATTCAAATATTTGCTCCTGTGTTTCCATACTAATGTCCTATTTGTTTTGCCCTGTGATGCTGCTTTGATGGAAGGTTTTCTGCAAGATGAATTATGGTGTTTGTTTTACAAGTCTATTTTCATAGTAAAAACACTGAGAAATAACATTGTATGTTTTAAAGTTATCATGTTCTAATTTATGTTTCTGCACTTTTGTTGAAAAAGGAGGTTTTCTATTTTTGCAATTTTTAGGAATAGCTAGATACTGATATATTTTATTTTAAGCATTGTAAATACAGAAATAAAATCTATCTGTTAACAGTTGATTCTACCTGATTTGTCTGTGATTAGAGGATTCCTTGCTGTAGGTGAGGGATCCAGCTGCCTGCTCTTTGGCAATGCTAATTTTTTGGGGGGGTCTTTGGGGAGCAGGGGGAGGGATTGCAGTACAGAAACCATGTCTCCATCTGGGAAGGCTGGGACCAGTTTGATGACCTGACAATCAACCCCTCACTTTTCAAATAGTTCAGTGGCTGGCATAAGCATTGGTTTTAACTTAACAGTGTGGAAACAGTGTAAATTAAACCAACATGAGCAATACTGCCTTCAGCCCTCCAGGTAGTTTCCTCTAACCCTGTGTTCTGTTGCTAGCAGTGGTCAAAAGCTGTTGCTTTGAGAGATGACATAAGCCTGGCTGCTGCCTTTGGTTCACTTGACTTGCATTTCCTCAGCATCTGCAGGCCCTGGATTAGGGATGGGAGGTAGATTCCCACCTATCTCTTTTTTGTTTCTAATTTATGAACCTGTTTGTGAAATCTGTTCACCTTTTTGAACCCATTTGTCCCCTTGTTTCCAAAACTTGACGTGGGAGCAAGCTCTGGAAGATCACTGTGTGCCCTTTTAACAAAAGGGGCTGTTTTTTGTGTGTCTGCTAAACTGGCTTATCTAATTTTATTGAGAGCTCTCCAGTTCCTGTATTGTAAGATTCAATGAATAACACTTCCACAATCAGCTTACCCACTGTTACCATGTTCTTTGTACCCTTAGGCTCTGTCTGCTGTTGTATTTCTGTAGCATGGAGCTGTATGTCTGAAGTTGCCTTAGCTAGAGATGTAGCTTTTGGAGAGCATAGTTCTGTCCTAGCATATGTACATTGTTGCTTTCTTCAGGTTCGTAGAAGTGTGAGTGAAATTCCTTTCAATAGGGGATTGTTTAACTGCATTTTCAAACAACTGAAATTTGGAAAAAAAGAAAAGAGGAGGAAAAACCTCAAGTACCCAGTGCAATGCCTTTGACACAGGCCACCAATATTATGTTTGAGTATACTAGGTTATACTCAAGCTGCTGTTTCTCCAGGAAACCTTGTTTCTCAGCAGTCTGGAAACCAAGAGGGGAAGATTTACTGAGAGAGAAATTAGACACCAAAAGACTTGCCACCTCCTTATTCTTCTGTCAACACATAACCTCCTGTCTGCTAGATATTGTGACCACGTTCCTTTGGTCCTCTTTCAGCCAGATGTTGCTGGCATGTTTCCCCAGTTGATGGGATGACTGTGTGCTTCTCCTGAATACAGAACTGGAGTGGAGGGAACCTTCTGTCTGCTGCTTTACCTCAGCAGGCCTGGCTGCTTCATTTGAGGGAGACCTCGGTGTCCAAAAGCCTATGTTGGTTCTGTTTCAGAAGCACAGTCAGAAGTCTCTTCCAGAGCTGGAAGAAATGCTGAGCTAAATGTCACTATCTTCAAAGCCTTTACATTTCCTAGCTGAATGTCTCACAGCTGCCCTCTGTTCTAAAGTTGTCCTTACCTCTTGCTAGTCTGGAAAAATCCATGTGAGATGAAGTAGTGAGGACTTCAGGTCAGTAGCTCCAACTGTTCTCTATATTCTCTTCTGTTGTTTCAAGTTTTGTTGTAGCTAAAGCTTTACTGAAGAGAGGGGCTGTGATTTATTGTTCATGGAAGTCATGTCCATTATACATCTACTACCCTGGCAGCTATTCTTGACCATCCACTTAAACATGACATTTTAATAAGCTCTGCAGTTTAGTCTTACATGCTCAACTTGCTGGTAGTCTTTTCTGAACCAGTTTCTGGAGGGATTGATTAACCTCTACCTTTTTCTCAAGGACCTTGGCTTCTCAGTAGAAATTGTCTTCAGATGATTTGACTGTTAGTAAGGAAATGGGATCACTGAGGAGCAAGGATCACTCTCTGTTAATTAGAGCTATGTGATTTTGTACCTTTTGGGTACAAAAAATCCATTGGCACATTTTTAGTAGTAGTTTCCACAAGGTTAGATGATGATCCCTCCTGTGGTAAGGTTCTTTCTGACACTTGTTTCCATACGGATAAAATAACTCATATAACACAGCCAAAATTTTTGTCAAAGATTGATCATAATACCAGTTTATTCCAGATTATTTTTACCTCTAAATTTCCACTTTAGACAATAAAACTTCATGAAGTTCATGCTGGAGCAGCCTCTGTTTCTGCTATGTTAATAAGACAAGCCTCTTTAAAGAGATGTCTTGTTTCTGTCTGTGCCTAGGGAGCTGAAATGGCTGTCAGCACTGTCACAGAGAATTTCCCCCTAAATAGTGGTCTTTGTAAAAGAGCACCTCCAACTTGCAATAAGAAACTAATTATGGATAATTTACTTGGTATAAATTCAGAATTGCCTTTGTGTGCTGTTCCTGTGGCTGACCTGCTGTCTGGGACTCTGTTCCTGCTTCTGTCTTGGGCTTTTCTTGAGTTTTTAAGAGGAGGAGAGCTGGGAGGGTTGGTTGTGAATTTTTTCCTACGTTGCCACATTGGGTGTAAGGAGGAAAAAAAGTGGCAGAGTGTGCTCCTGTGGCTACTCTCTGCTGAACTGTGGGTGTCTGTCAGCCTAAGGATGTAAATGTGTCTATGGGTGAAGCACAGTTTGGAGAGCAAGTACAAACAAATGATCTGCCCTCGTTACCAGGGGAATCCTGGTTTGCAGGCAATGATGAATATTGTACCATCTATTTGTAGCCCATTTTGCTTGACTCACTTCTACCAACAACGACTTTCTTTGTGGTGTGAAGAAGAGCTTACAGGCTGGTAATTCCAGGACCAGACTGCTGGAGAACATCCCCAGAGCACTTGTTGCAGCAGTTGATTTGGCAGTTTGAATTACACATTAATTACACTGTTGCTATACTTGTATTCATAAGACAAAACCGAAGTGATTCCAAGTGTGTAAGGAGGAGAAGTAATTAGTATTTCAGCTGTTCTACTCCTTAGACTCTTGTTTCACTAACGTTTAACAAATTTCTGTTAGTACTACAGGATCTGTAATTAACCTACCTGCTGAAGAACAAACTGAGCATGACTTCGTATTTTTTTCTTTCAATTTAAGTACCCCCATACTAGTTTGGTATGGTTATAACAGTCATTGGACTTACAAGCAGTAATTTTCATCTCTAGACATGGACCTTGTCACATATGTCTAGTGTGTGCAATTCAAACTTGAAGACAGATTTTGACATTTTGTTTCTGGTAAGGCAGAGAAGGTGAGGAGCAGGAAAAGAAGACTTGAGTGGGAGGCCCCTGTCTGATGGACAGCACATTTGTCAGTTCTGGATGAAGTTTTTCCTCAGTAATGAAGGTGGAAGAGCTGGAGCATGGCCAATGGATTTTTACTTGCAAAGTGAGAATATCAGTGGGACTTCAAAAGGCTTGAGGAAGTCCCTTCAAACTGCTCCCAGTCCTAGTCCATAAAGTGAGGGTGCTTCCTTTCCCCATGCTTGCTTTATCTCCATGGTAAACTTTTGCAGTCAGGATGGGCTTGCTTGGAGTTGTCCTGTGCTTGCTGAGAGGGAGCCCTGAGCTCTGCATCTTTTAGGGATACAGAGAAGCAGAACAATTCTGACTGATTCTCAAAGGCTGCAGATTTGTTTAATAGTTTAAACCCTAATACTTAGAGTTAGCTTTGGGTAGAATTCTTTCCTTATTTTGGTCATTGTCAGTTTTGAATTTTTTTTCCATTTTTTTCTGTTGTTGAATGCAGTCCTCTGTCTCACTGGGAAGACTGGTTCAAACATCCCAAGCAGGCAAACTTAAGGAAAAGAAAACAAAACCAAACCTCAAATGCTTTCTCGTTTAATTACAGTAATGTTACATGTGAGTTTTAAGAGCAGAGAGAAAATTCAGAAATAAAATATTTAAAAATATGAAGTGTCTAACACTGAGGATGTCTTTGTACCTGCTCAACCTAATTGGGATATTAGTAATCATAATTATTCAACAGCTTTGTAAAGTTTTCACATCATTGAGTACAAATGGAGTTATAATACATTCCGTACACGTGCTTCAGTGTGTTTTGGAGATTGTTGCCCTGGCATCTGAAACTAATTAGTGTTCAGAAAACTTAGTAAAGATGCATATCAAGGCCTGGCTGTCTAGAAAAGTTATTTTTACCATATAAAAGGTTAAAATGCTAAAGAGAATTTTGTGAGGGTTTTTTTGGGCATATCAAGCAAGTTACTGAGGGGGGTGGTGGTGGCTTTTTGAAGCAGAGTGTTGAAGACTTTTTGGCATTTCTGTGGTAGGAATGCCTGTTAGGTGAAATGCTGGTCCCTTGCTCCTGTGATTTGTGGAGGCGTTGGGGGGCTAGAGGGCTGTCAGAGTTCACCATGAGGTTAGTAGGTAACAATTGTGCTGTGTGGGGAGCGTGTTGGCTTTCTGAACTGCAGCATCTTTGGAGGTGAGAAAAATGCATGGTGGCAACACAAGTCCTGGGAAGCTAAGGGAGGAAGGGACGTTTGATGGGAGATCTGTTGTCCCTAGGACTGTAATTGAATATCCTGACTTTTATTCACAGTTTTCTTGTTCTTTTTTTCCTTCCCCCAAAACTAGACAGTAGGAGTTCATGCCTTACTGCTTTCATTGTGTAGCATAGATGAAGAGTGCATCAGTAAAGCAGATGTGAAATATTTGTGTGAGGATCTTTTTTTCCT